TCACTGGGGAGTTCCCACCAACGGGGAGCGGGGATGGGGTGGGGGCCGCTGTGTGACCCCCGCCCGGGCTCAGGGCTCCTGCTCCCCCCCCCTGCAGCCCCGTCGGACCCCTGCGAGAACAACCCCTGCCTGCACGGCGGGACCTGCCGCGCCAACGGCACCGTCTGCGGCTGCAGCTGCGCCCCCGGGTTCACCGGGGAGAACTGCGAGATCGGTGAGAGCCGCGGCAGGGACGGGAGCATCCCAAACCTGCCCCGGAGCAGGGACGGGAGCATCCCAAACCTGCCCCGGAACAGGAGCATCCCAAACCTGCCCCGGAACAGGAGTATCCCAAATCTGCCCCGGAATAGGAGCATCCCAAACCTGCCCCGGAACAGGAGCATCCTAAACCCTGCCCTGGCACAGGAACATCCCAAACCTGCCCCGGAATAGGAGCATCCCAAAGCTGCCCCGGAATAGGAGCATCCCGAGCCCTGCCCCGGCACAGGAACATCTCAAACTTGCCCCGGAACAGGAGCATCCCAAACCCTGCCCCGGCATGGGAACATCCCAAACCTGCCCGGGAACAGGAGCATCCCGAGCCCTGCCTCGGCACGGGAGTATCCCAAACCCTGCCCCACACAGGAATATCCCAAACTTGCCCCATACAGGAGTATCCCAATCCCTGCCCCAGCACAGCGCGGAGCAGCAGCCACGGGAATGGGGCCGCGGCTCCAAGTCCTGCCCAATCCCCCATCCTCGGTCACTGCCGGCACTGGAGGGGGCGGTGGGCGGGGTGGGTGGTGGGGAGGTGCCAAGGGGGTCTCCCCGTGCCCACAGCCCCCCGCGGTGTCCCCGCAGACATCGACGACTGCCTGTCCAGCCCCTGCCAGAACGGCGGCACCTGCATCGACGAGGTGAACTCCTTCGTGTGCCTCTGCCTGCCCAGCTACGGCGGCAGCCGCTGCGAGAAAGGTGGGGAGCGGCCCCCCGGTGTCCCCACAACCCCCCCGGGTGGGTCACCACGGGGTGGGGGAGACCCCCACGGGGTGCTGGGCACCCTCTGCCGCTCTGGGGGTGCTGGGAGGGGGCGCGGGATGAGGAGCCGCTCCCCGCGTCCCTCCCCGTGCTGCCGGTCCCCTTCTCCGTCCCCACCGTCCCCGTGTCCCCTCCGCAGACACGGAGGGCTGTGACCACAACTGGCACAAGTTCCAGGGTCACTGCTACCGGTACTTCTCCCGCCGGCGCTCCTGGGAGGACGCGGAGCGGGATTGCCGGCGCCGCGCCGGGCACCTCACCAGCATCCACTCCCCGGAGGAGCACGGCTTCATCAACGGTGGGTGTGGAGGGGGGGGTCACACCCCGTCCCGCCCCCCTGGACGCCCCTCCCCTTCCCTATCCCCCTCTGAGAGCCGGGCGTGCCCCTCCCCGCAGGTTTTGGGCACGAGAACACGTGGATCGGGCTCAATGACAGGATCGTGGAGCAGGACTTCCAGTGGACCGACAACACGGGCTTGGTGAGGGCCTTGGGGGTGCGAGGGGGGGCTCGGGGCGTGGGGCAGGGGGTGTTTCACCCTCGCTGGGGTCCCGCAGCAATACGAGAACTGGCGGGAGAACCAACCCGACAACTTCTTTGCGGGGGGCGAGGACTGCGTGGTGCTGGTGTCCCACGAGATCGGCAAGTGGAACGACGTGCCCTGCAACTACAACCTGCCCTACATCTGCAAGAAAGGCACAGGTACCACCTGCCCTGGGGCCCTCGCCCTGGGGCACCCCCAGCCCGCAGCCCCCGGCATCCCTGACCCCGTCCCACAGTCCTTGGTGTCCTCATCCCACAGTCCCCGGTGTCCCCATCCCACAGGGCTCCCCATCCCCATCCCACAGTCCCTGGTGTCCCCATCCCACAGTCCCTGGTGT